TGACTAATGCTTAACAAGTTGGACTTTAACCCTTTTACATAAAGCATATCTGAGATAGCAGGTAATCCAGATATATTAACAACACCTTTACCTAGAATAGGTGCAGTAGCCCCATCTCCAAAAGTAACCACACCACCATTCCACTCACTGAGAGAAAAGAGCAAGGCTTTATCACTACACATATGTCTAGAACATGCACTATCAAGATACTACATAGAGTTATTTTGAGCTTTAAGTGCAACGTGGGCAACACAACAATTTAACTTATCATCAGACTTAGGAAGGTCACTCTTCTTAGCCCAAACCTTCTTAAAGGTAGAAGTTATTCTAGTTAACTGAATCATCATCTCAATTAAATGGCTAACCTGATTGGCGATGAGGCTTACCTTGCTTGAGAAATCATGAATTTTACTTCTAGTCGCGAGTTTACGACACCTAGGTCTTGGATGTACTAGCAGTAGTATCACCATTTTGAACGTAACCTAGACCATACCTATTTTCAACAGGCTTGTTTATCCCTAACAGATTATTGAGTTTTACATACTACTCATAAAGGAATGAAGTTGTGTTTTGGTAGAGTCCTGAAAGTCACCTATGAGTTTCTCTCACTCACTCGTTCAAGTTCATTAATCTTCTTCAGAATAGCTTTATTGACCTTTTTATTTTAAGACTCTCCTCAAATAACTCTCGATAAGACTCATGAATATCGATTTCGTCCTCACAATCATCCTCAATTTCTCACTACGTTCTTCACTCTCAACCTTTGCACTTTTCTTATCAGATTCAATCTTAGCTATAGATGTGAATGCCATAAAATTTTGTTCATCCTCACCACAAGAGATATAACTTTGAACACTCGAATCTGACTCATCATCACTCAAGGTCACTACTAATGCCTTACGCTTTCCTTTATTCAGATTCTTCTTCAAGTTAAGACATTCATTCCTATAGTGACCAAAACCCTGACACTCGGTATCTAACTGACTGGGTTTTCTTATTAAAAGTCCTAGACTTATTCTTCTCACGCTTATTATTCGAGAATTTACTACGGACTTCATTTTTCATTCTTGAGGTTTTCTCATATTTCTCGTCACCTTCTGGAATTTTTTAACGAAATTAGATATTTCGTTGTCCCTAAGAGTTTCAGCATCAGTTGACTCACTTTTTTCTTCCCTAATAGTGTTCATGGCTATGGATTTAACCTTTTTCGGTTGAGATATAGTGAGTTCATAGGTTTGAAGGGATCCTAGAGTTATTCTATCTTAACAGCATCTAAATCTTTATTTTATTCAATCGTGGTGATTTTAGATCTAAATCTTTTAGGTAGGGATTTAAGGACTTTTCTAACAATTTTAGGCTCGAGGATCGAATTAATTATATCATTAAGTTTCGCATAGAATTCATGAAATGATTCATCGTCTTTCATTCTAATTTCTTCAAACCTGGATGTCAACATCTGCAGTTTAGAGTTTTTAATAGTTTTAGTTCTCTCGTGTGTGGTTTCTAGAACATCCCAAATATCTTTAGCAGTTTCACATATCGATACTCTTCTTAACTCTTCAGCAGACATAGTTATGAACAGAGTATGAAGGCCCTCACTGTTCGAGTTACACTCGACTAAGTCATCTTTAGTCGAGAGTGAAAATTAGTGGGTGTGACTACAACAGCAACAGTGGTTGAAAGTACAGTCCACCCAATTTGAACACTCATCCAAATACGCTCATCCAATGCTTTAAGAAAACTCTCATTCGAACTTTCCAATAAATATAGTTGCTTCCGTTAAAAAATAGAGGCACGGATAAGGACTGATTCATCTAGACTTAATTAAAGGTTAGGAATTGAAATAAGTCTCTAATACCAATTAAAATAACTAGGTTCGACCCAAACTACACCTAGATGAGGGGTGAATAAGTGATTATGCGGAATTAAAACTTAATAATTAATTAGCAACAAGTCACTATTAATTATCTCTAAATGGTTAATCAAACAGTCCAATTTTTTCTATGTTGAAATACCGCAATTATATGAAAGTAATAAACAAACACAAGATATGTTCACGGAGAAATCCCAACCGAGTAAAAACTTCGGGCACTTTACCGGTTAATAATCCACTATAAACGAATTAAAACTTACAGTCCGTCAGACTCGACTACCATTAGTACTTTTTGACCTCCTGACTGCAATTCACACAGCTTTCCTAGATTTCATGCTTCTGCACCAACTCCCAACTGCAGTTTTCAAAGCCCTCCTGGATTGCGCGCTCCTGCATCAACTTCCAGCTTCGTGAATTCGTCTATCTCATGTTGATCAACGAAGAACTCTGCGTTCTTTCACAACTGGAACTCCAGTTACCTTCCCTAAATATTCAGAATTCTGACAGATGTGTAGGAAGTGCCAGTTTAGTATTTTGATTGTGGATTTGATTTTTTCAATGCCAGGAACAAATCACAGCACAAAGGTTGAAAGCTTCTTTGATGAAGAGAATATGAAGAGAATGTGTTTTCACAATGATCAACCGTAGAATTTACGTTCAGAGGTGTTTTAGTTTAGGTTTTGGAATGAATGAGCCGAATAAAAAGCTTTAAAAAACGAATTAAAAATTCTCCGGATAACCCTATCGCTCAAGCGAAAGTTGGGCGACAAGCGAGCGACAGTTTGTCGTTTGAATGAAATCATGGCGATAGGCTAGCGACAATGTTACTGTTTCTGCCGCTCAAGCCAAGTCATGACCATAGTCTAGCGAAATTGCGGTGCCGTTTTTCCTTCTTTTCCATTCTCGAACCCTAGACTTAATACAACTCAATTTATACTATTTGCAACGTACTCTTTGACTTTTTACAACTTATTAAATTTAGTCCATTTTATTCACAAACTTGCCAATTACATCAAAAACCTAACAATGTGAAAGATTGTTGGGGAAATCAAAGGATAAGACGGTGCCATGTGAAGGAATATAAAGGAAGATGTCAACTATAATGTTAATGTAACACGAATGGATTTATATACCCTGTAAATGTAAATTTTGGGGTGTGACAGGTCCGAGCCAGTAGTGTGAGAAAAACATGCATACAGATTAAAATGAGCCGAACTCATTCTTGACATTTACCAATTTTCTTTTTCCCACACTTATGCTGTTTACCAAACAAACCAACTCGAACACTTTTGATAATTAAGGTTACGTTGTCATTTATTTTCAGGACTTTGTTGTAATTTATCCTCAAAATTTGTTACCAAATCTTACCAGTGAAAGCCGGCTTGACCGGGTTTAATCAAGAAAAATAAATGCCACCCTTCTTTTAAGGGTTGAGTGTCGAGGAAGAGAGGCCAATTTACTCTCCAGTAGTCAAAACTTGGTACATTTCCTGAATGTGGTCCATTCATTAAATGGGTCACAATCTTGTGAGAATATGTTAAGAGATAAATTTTTGCATCGAAAAAAAAAAACGTAAGTGAGCAACATATAAGGATTTGAACTACTAATAATATTGACCTTTGAAGATAAAACACCAAATCTTACTAAGAAGAAATGTATGTGACATTTGAACCAACCTTCAGAAGAATCGAACCCCACCTTTGAATGTGGAATGACTACAGTTTATGCACTAGAGTTCTATCGACAAATGGGGTAATGAAATGGAAGTGTGGAGTAGGAAGGCCATATTTGAGCCCTATTTTTTGAGAATAGATTGTCACGAGTAAATCTTTTGAAAATTGTGTGGTTAAAAAGTATGAAATTTTTTTATGTTTTATACGTACAAAATTATTTTATTAGAAGATTGTGATTGAAAATGAAGTTGTTCGAAAATGAATTTTAAAAAAAGAACTTCAAACATGAATTAATTATGCAACAAAATAGAAGAGATAATCAAAATAGTGCATACCTAGAATTAAGGTCGGATATTTTTCATATCAACTCATATAGTAGCATATTGTTCTAGTAAATTCTATATTAGGGACACAAAGTTAAGAGGCAAAATATCGAAAATCAAAGAATCCTAACATTGTTTCTGCGTAGAAAGCAAATTGCAAGCATGTGCTCTCCAGTACGAGATTCACAATAATTGTCACGTTTGGCTGCATTCTTTTTTCTAATCATGCCAAAAAAATAAAATAAAAATACTATTGCACAGTTTTCATACGAACATTTTATCTTGTACTATTGTATCCAACATAATCATACATTGGAGAACCTATGTTGTTAATTAGATCTAAAGCAATGTTTCATATATTTTAAACTTAGTTATACTCAAATTACCTTAATTTTCAACTTCTCAAAAATACACAATGGGATGAAAATTAAAGTGTTAATCTAAATTCGAATTTCAAAGTAGTAGTGTTACGAAGGTCCATCGTTCTTAATGTCGTTACTCGTTAAGTCATTATTACTTCGATAATTTTACTTTTACATTTTTTTTTTTTTTGAAACTGTATTCTTGAGAATATGAAAGTGCAAATGTCTGTATCGATTATATACATTTAAGACAAAAGGAGAAATACCAAAATCTACATAAAAAATAAAAGAAATTCCAAGTCCAAGCTCATGCTCATGCTTCCTAGAATTATACGGACGTTAGACATTTTCATGTGTGAACTCACAAAATCTCAGTTTGTATCTAAAATCCAAGCACTCCTGACCGTATAAGGAACGTCTTTGAAGGACCCACTCATGTAAGTTTTCAAAACAAATTGCAAAAATACAGTCAGGCATTACGACAAGGAGATTTTTTTTTGAAAAGACCAACCAAAATACAAATATTATCTGCATGAGAGAACGGCCAAAGTTAGAGTGCCCACCACCCCTAACTTAGCAAAAAATGGCTTATTTTCAGCTAATCACTCGGTCTCTCCACCATATTTTTCCATGTAACTTCTCAATTACACAGAAGTAGACTGCATATCTGTCATTTTCCAATTCTTATTTACTTTCTAAAGCTGCCAGCCTTACTTTCTTTTTCTTCTTGTAGAATTGATCCAAAATCAGCTTTTCTTTTTTTGTCAGAATGGAACAAACAAGGTATTGGATGTGGGGGAAGAAAAAAAGCGATTTCAATTCTCATGTTTTTGCATCATATGGAGATTCTTGGGAAGAACAAGCTTTTGCAGAAGATGCAGCTGGGGCTCTTGGAGGGTGTACATGGCCTCCAAGATCTTATTCTTGCAGTTTTTGTAGAAGAGAGTTCAGGTCTGCTCAAGCCCTAGGGGGTCATATGAATGTCCATAGGAGGGATAGAGCCAGATTGAAACAGTCTCCAATTCCACAAACTGAAGAACTTCCTCATAATCATGTCGATCTTCAATTTCCTTCTGAAATATGTACCTTTCTGTACAACCCTAATCCTGATTTTTCAGATCCTGAAGTTTTAGCTTCGCCTTCTTCACATATAAGGGTTTCAACTCTACCCAGGAAGGCCAGTTCCTGTGAAAAGATACCCGGTCTTCGTTTCTTTGCCAGAAGATTAGAAGATAATCAGAGGAATAACGTTTCTTCCCCTACTGCATCCTTGTCTAACTTTATTGTAGAGAAGGATACCGGCGTTTTCAATTTGTACAATGAAGATAGGAAATCTAAGACTTCAGAAACAAATGCTAAGGCTAAAGAAGATTGTGCCGCAGATGATTTGGCTGTTTATCGAACTCAAACAAATGAATCCAGTAGTGATGAGGAAGTTGCAGTTTGCAAGAGAAGGAGAATCGATCTGAGGCCGTTCACGTTTTTACAAAAATCTAGTCCTGTTGAGAGATATCATCCCCAATTGGACGTTCTTAAAGTGTGTTCTAGCACCATAGAGGAATTGGATCTCGAACTTAGGCTTGGTGGTGCTCCAAAGGTGAAGTAAACTGCATAATGGTAATCCCAAAATAAATATGCAGTATACTTCTTTTTTATCTGTTTATTTCAGATGAAAGTTTATCTGCCCTGATTTCTCCTTTATTTTGATAATTTGAGATCAACTCTTCTTCCTTCAACATGATCCACTTTTATTTTCTCCTTTCAAGTACTTGTCAAATTTGCACTGTGTAATAGTAATTTTATTAAGTGTGATAATCTTTACTACTTATACATTAAAATTATTGTTCTTGATCACAATACAGATATGACCATTGAATTTCCAATCATTATATATTTTTCTTGATGAAATAAGAGATTTATACAAAGGATTACAATTGTTAACCCTCATTTCAAGAACAGTTCATACTGTTTTAAAGCAATAGATTATCAAAGGTAGAAGATTTGGCCTAGGAAAGTCTAGATGGTATTTTTAGGAGATGAAGATCTTATGTTTAAAACATTATTTGAAGTCTGATGAAACCATTTCAAGTCTAATTAAATCTAATTTCAGGCCAGAAGTACAGGTTAAGGACTTTACCTCTCTCTCTCTCTCTCTATTGGTTGAGGATTATTACACACACACACAAACACAAAATTTGGGGCTCAGAGGATGAAGAAACTGACTAAAAACTTCATCGAATACAGTGAGCACCTTTTCACATAGATCAGTACTTCATTAATATTATTGTTCATATAAACTAATTATTAACACTATTAAACAATCACAGTTCAGTTTTCAAGAATGCATAAGTCAGATTACAGCATAACACTGATTCCCTTTTTCTTTGTACTGTAATCATCGTCATCAGATCTATTGTAATATATAGTGCACAAGTCCATACATTTGTGTTCTGGTCTTTCACTTTTCTCTCTCTCTCAATCCTTCCAAATTTGCCACCAACTACAAGGAATCAATCCATTTAAGTATCATACACATACCATTTTTTATTCACAAAGAGAATATTATTGCATCATGCATGATTGTAGGCGTAAAAAACGCTTCTTTTGTTTGTTTCTCTGGGGGCATATTTAATTATATTTAATTAACCTTCTCAGCATGAGAATTAATGCAGAATATTAAGGAGAATGCCGGATAAGGAACAAAGAATAATCAGGAACACATCAAGCCCTAACCCTAGCTGTAGCATAATAGATAACACCACTCCTTGTTTATTACTCCAGCATATTGAACTTATATCCTAATTAAGCTCACTTAAACATGTGAGTTCACTTATGTTCTGTTTGGAAACATGGACTCTAGATTACTAAACAATATTAAGTTAAAATCCTATTTATTTTAGAGTCAAGTTCATTCTAATATTGTATAGCAAATACCTTCTTAGGTTTTATGCAATAAATTTATTTTGATTTTGCATCTTCTGGAGCTGCAAATAGATTAAGAAATTAGCTTCTTTTGTATAACAATATTTCCTCCATCTTGTGAGGAGTATATATTAAGCTATTGCTATTGACAAGCAGCGTTTACCGATCATCGGCGACATGTCATCTTAAAATCCTACATTTAAGATGGCAGTTAAAACGAAAAATACAGTAAAGTCATCTAAATACCACATCACTATTTTGGGTAAGCAGTGAAGATGAATGACATTATTCGTATACAATAATATTGTCATATGGTATTCTAAATAAATTTGAAGTTATAAATTTATGAAGTTATAAAATACATTAGTTCTATATTTTATCATACTTGTTAATATCTGTATGAGTGATTTGAATATATGGATCTAGTGAACACTACAAATTGATTTGAGGGGTCAATTTATTTTCTACTCTAGTTTTTCCTTTTAATAATATGGGTATTTTGTTCTGTAACATAATTACTACATGTAAAGACACATGACCACTTTGGTTTTGTCGAAGTTCTATATTTGTGTAAGAGAGATTTAAGGTGATTGGTCATTGTTTGTCTTGTTTAGGATTGTTGAGTTGGATAGGCCTGATCAAATGCAGAGAGATTTAAGTTAAGTGAGAATTCACAGAAAGGCACATGGGGGTATCAGAATTTCTATATGTTCTTCTGAAGAGTTAATGTATAGAATTTTGTGAAAGAGATGGGATATTTCCAGCTAACTTGTTTTGCTGTTTTTAGAGAATATGATAAGTCCGAGATATGCACTAAAGTATGAAAATTACGGGAAAAACTATTAATTCCAGAATATACTGGGATTTTCGAAGTTGTTTATATTTGTCTTGACAGCTAGGGTTTTCCGAAATCAGGAGTATATTATTAATTATTAGAATAGACAAATCATAAAGAATTACTCTCACTACGTACCTTACCCCCACCCCTAATACAAACACATTCTTTGAGAATTAAATCATTTAATGTTATTAAAGAAGTCCAAAACTTTGTGAAAACAATAGTTTCTTCAATTCTAGTGATTTTATTCTTTAAGACGTTTATTCTTTCATCAACTGGTGATGGTTCCCAATCTATTTTGAACTTAGTTCATTAATTTGTTGTTGTTTGTTTATACTAGAGCTATTGCATCTTTTAACATACATTCTATATTTCAATACTAAAAAAAGTGTTGCTAGTTGAACCAATAATTCCAGTACGATTTTCGTGAAGAAAAAATACAACCTCAAAACAAGGGTTAATTACCCCAAACATTATTGAACTTTACCTAAAGTTTCCAGGAGGTCACTGAACTTAAAAAACAATGCCATTCATCATTGAGCTTTTGATACTGCTACCCCATCCATCATCGAATAGAAGTATGTCAAAAAACTTAACTGAAATGATGATGTGGCTGACGGAGTGTATGACGTGGTCGTTTGTTTAAGTGATTTATGCCAAATCATACAAGTGCTAGTGACGTGTAAAATTGCAAACACATTTTTTTTTATCTAAAAAAAAAAATTTTAAAACAAAAACCCAAAATCAAACCCCCGACCCGTTTTCCCCCAATTGTCAACAGTTTACCCATTTTCATTTTCCCCAAATTGAAACCTATAATCCTTCTCTCCCGTCGACGACAAGGTCCCGGCTAGAACTCTGCAAGTTGACGATGCAGAGCCTCTAATTGCAAGCCAAGATCCTGCAAATCGAGACCCCAAGAACTACAAAACCTACAACCTAAAGAGCTCTAAAAATTGCGACCCAAGGAACCCTAAAATTGTGAACTTTAGAAGCCTAAACACGCGACCTTCAGTGAATTCACATTGGGAACCTTTGAAGAACCTTCGACCAAGGGCCGACCTCCATTGCGAACCTGTAGTGAACCTTCGAATAACCCGTAGTCACCTCCCTTCCATTTGTACCCGAAATGGCAGATGTTGAGAAACAACAGGTTAGAAAAAATAATAATCTCCATCTATTATGGATTCAATTGGTTGCAGTATTTTAAATTATTTGTTTTTTCCATTGGATAATTTCATTTGTTGTTGATTACTGGAGTCTTAACCTATGTAATTTTTAATACAATTGTAGATGACTAAGACTTCAATGACTCATACGATGATGACAATCTGTTTGATCGTAACGTGACAAAATGTACTGAAATGATATGAATACTATGGCGGAGTATGAAAAAGTGCCTGAATTATATAGTTCTTCATATGCATCTTCAGAGGAGTTAAAATTCGGTAGTGGTTCAAATTCGAAGAATAATATAGGTCGATTGAATTACCCTGAATATTATGATGGTAATGAAAAGAAGAATCCACATCTTGAGGTTGGTTTACTTTTTGCTTCGTTCGATGAGCTGAAATCTGTTGTGAGGAATTATACGGTGTTCAATCGGGTTGAGTCTATTTTCAAATGAAATGATAAAGATTGGGTACATTGTATTTGTAAAGATGGATGCCCATGGAAGTTGTGGACATCTAAGCTACATGATCGAGATACGGTTCAGATAAAAACGTATGATCCCAAACACATTGTTTTAAGGTTCAGACGAATAAGTATGCAAATTATAAATGACTTACAGAATATTGTTTGGAAGACTTCAAAGTTGATCCTGAATGGAAGACAAAACATTTTAGAACTACTGTGAGAAAGGATTTTGTACAACTAAGGTAGTTGCTTGGAATTTGAGAAACTACGCCAAAGTTTTAGTAGAAGATAGCAATGAAGAACAATGTGCTTTGTTATGGGGTTATGGTGCTGAATTGAAAAGAACAAATTCGGGTTCAACTGTGATCATTTCTCAGGTGGATAATGTGTATCTACATTTCCATTGAGGCATGTAAGATAGGATTCCTACAGGGTTGTCAACATTTTGTGAGTATGTAAGGATTTTTTTGAAAGGAAAATATGGTGGTCAGATGCTTACAGTAGTTGGGGTTGATGCCAATGATTGCATATATCCCAATGCATATGCAATAGTTGAGAAAGAGAACACTAGTTGTTGGTGTTGGTTTCTTGCGTTGTTGTCTGGGGACCTTTCTATGGAGAATTGGTTGTCCGCAACCTTCATGAGTGATAGATAAAAACAACTAGTTAATGTTGTTGCCGATCTATTTTAGGAATCAGAACGTAGGTTTTTTGTTAGGCACATGCATCAAACAAATTTCAAAGTAACTTCAAGGGAAAGTACTTAAAAGATTTTGTGTCAAGTGCTGCAAAATCAAGTTATTTGACATCGTTTAAATACTGGATGTCAAAGATTGAAACTGCTAGTCCGACGACTTATGGATGGTTGAAGGCCAAACCAGCATCTGAGTGGAGTAGGTCTCATTTTTCTGATATGCCAAAGTACGAAATGCTCCTTAATATCCTATGCTAGTGCTTCAACAAATTTATTTTTGAGGAAAGAGATAAATCGATTATAACGATGTTGGTTGGCATTCAAATGAATTTGATGCATAGAATTCATGTGAAGCGGGGCAAAATGAGAAATTACAACTCAATATGTCCTAAAATCCAAAATATTTTGGAAAAAAATGTTGATACGACCTGTGAATGCATCTTGCAGTGGAATGGGGTACATCAATATCAAGTGGAGTGTTCAAATGGTGAATATGTAGTTGACATGGAGAACA